CCACCCCATGAGAGAAGGGCTTGCTCCTTCCTCAGGGGAGCCACCTGTTCCACATCCTCCAACATCTGTTTACATCTGCTTCTAAGCCTGTTTCCTCAAACACCAGTCATCCAAAACCAAACGAGAGTGACAAAGCAGCAGGTATACAGAGCAAGTATTTTTTCCCTTTTCAGCCCAGAAGCCAGACAGATTGAGCTGGTCAGCAGGGTTGTGGAAAGCAGGAGGTTGCCTAAACAGTACTTCAAAACCAACATGACTTTTTATGTTTGCATTTTGACATTTATTTGAATAGTATATTTTTTTCTTCAATAAGCACTGGCATTTAACAATACTAATCAAAATGCTTATGATTTCTGATGTTCCTCAATAACTGTAATTTTATTTAAAACTACCAAATTCAGATATTGTTGATTATCTGTAACTTTATATTACTATGTTCATTTTTTCTATGTGGGTGCACTCTAATTTATTATCTAATTAAAACCTGAGTTTCTGTCATATTTTTAGACTTTAGAACCCTGGATCACAGTTGGTAATCTCACTTGAGGCAAAGGCAAAAGGTGGACATACATATAAAAATTGTTTGTTTTTTTTTTTTAACATAGACCGAATGGTTACATGTTACTTGCTAAGATTACACTGTTGTGTTTCTTCAGGAAAAAAGCTGACAAGACTGGTTTCACATCTGTCTGCATAATATAACAATCTCAGGAAGAACTAGTGATGAAAAAGCTGTTTTGTTGACAATCTGTTATTGTTAAAAGCACCCAAACATCAAGATTTAGGCACTGCTCATTAGTGCTGTATTGTGGCTCAGGATTTTGTCCATATAAATACTTTGTGTCAAAATATTTTTTGCACACATTCTTTGCTGCAAGCATTTTCCTTACAGCCCTGAAGAGCTATAGCCCCTGAAGCCCTTTATCATCTTAACCACATTTGCCCATACCTCAGCCATCAAAGCCATGTCATAACATTGCCAGCCACATATTTTGCTCCGTGTGTAGTTCAACTACTCAGTTCTACTAATGCCACTTTGTTTTGTGGTCTGCTCATCTACTACTGTAACTCCCATCTCTTTGCCTTTCTCACCGTGACCAGGCATTACATAGATGGAAACTGAAAGCCAACAATGACTCCAGAGATTTTTCCTTACAAATTATCTCATAGTAGCTAACATCATGGCTTCATCACAGGATAAAGAAAGGGGGTAGAAACACCCTTACAATCCCTAACTGATCCACAGAGGTGTTCTGTTTGGGTCTGCAAAGGTGAGAAGATGAGCAGATCTGAGGGAAGCAGTGCCTGAGGACTGGCCCAGGCTGTCCTTGCAGCTCCCCTGTACAGCCACAGCCACTCAGGCAACTGCCCTGACACTCTGGCACAACAGACTAAGGCAGCACCTTCTAAAAGCTCTAATAACTTCACCAGAAGATCGCTTAAATAATCGCTGGATAACTAACTAATAAGAGCATGGCTTTGACCCTAATTAAAAGTCTCACCTAGCAGACTCCAGCTGAAATAAATGCTTAAGCAACACTAATATGAATACCAAATACAGAGTCACTCTTCACTTAGCCCATCACTGCTCTCTTGTCTGCAATTAACTTCCATCAGGCTGCCTCGTGGGATCACATCTTCAGTAAAGCTGCTGCACTGGTCTCAGATATCATTAACTCTTCCAATTACCTTTTCCAACAGCAAGTTAAAATGGTGCTTCTGGCTCCTTCTAACTTTCCTGAAGCCTTCTGTTACTCCAACTTCTGTTATGTCAGCACTGCATTTATTCTCATTTCAAGTTTCACTCTTCAGACGCCCATACTGCATTCACCTAGAAATATCAATTATTTCATGTTGCCACTTCCATGACTACTGGAATCTCCAAAAAGCAGTAAAACTCTCATGTACCAGAATTGATGCAGCTTTAAAAAAGGAAAGCTCCTTGTCTCACAATCAAGAGATAAAGTAAATAACTTAATTGACTTAACGGGTATTTCAAGTATTGTGTACTTTGCTAATGCCTGGAAGACTAAAGGGAATCTAACCCAATCTCCTTGCTCTCCATGGCAGTGCAGCTCTCCTTGCTCAACAGAAAGGTGGATTTGCCTGTTTCACTTTCAGAGTAACTCTTCAATAAGCATTTCAGGTTACCACGGCTGCTAGCAGCAGCCAACAGAGTCTTGCTGTTCAAAATGTGTATTGTTAGAGGAACTCAGGCACTTGCCAATAAATGCCAATTCAGGCATGTTAATAACTAACAGCAATAGAAATTCCTGAGAAGAAAACAGCAGGTGAAGTCCTTTTCTCCATCCCTGCATTGAAGGCTAGCAGAGACAGTTCTACCAGCAGAATTTGCTAACAGTGATTTAAAAACAGCAGCAGGGTCAGCAGACTGAGCTCTGGTCTCAGTCCAGCTCCTCGCCATAACATATTTTGATGAGAATTCAGTTTTCAGACAGGTGAATAATGTGGCCCAGTGCACCACCAATCCCACTACAAGAAAGACATGGGCTTACTGGAATGAGTCTGTGAAGGGCTACAAAGGTAATTAAGGGACTGGAGTATCTACTATATGGAGGCTGAGAGAGCTGTGGTGGGATGTTCTGCAGATATAAACACCTGGTGGGAAGGTGAAAAGAAGATGGATCCAGACTATTCTCAATGGTGCCCAGAGAAAGAATAAGACACAAGAGGCACAAAAGCTATTAGAAATTCTGTTTCAACATAAGAAAGACTTTTTTTACTGTGAGGGTGGTTGAAGACTACGACAGCCTTGCCCAGGGATGTTGTGGATTCTGTATTCTGAGACGATCACAACCTGTGTGGGCACAGCCCTGGGCAGCCTGCTGTAGCTGGTTCTGCTTGAGCTGGGTGTTGGACAAGGATGATATCCAGAGGTGCCTCCAACCTACATCTACACTACCCAAGGGAAAGCAAATTCTCAGGATGTGTGTGCCAAATTCAACACCAGTTGTTGTTTTCTTTCTGGTTCCCATGAGATGTATTCTTCAACAAAGCCCCTGAGAACATCATGTACCTGCTCCCAGCCTGTGACCTGAGCAGTCTCAGGACCCTCCACCCTACATGGCCAGCCATATAACACAAGTAATCCTTTGCTGTTTGTTGTACGAGTTTTCTTTGACCTCTCCCCCATAAGGATCTAAACCCACAAATTCACAAACTGAAACAAAACAGAAACAGGAAAAATAAACTTGAGGAAGCAACAAGCTGTAAGTGATAAGATTACATGGTTCTATGTGTTACATTTGTAGTTCTAATGCATATTTTCAGGTTGACATCTACATAAACTTACTAGCCTATTCATGATACCTAAAGAGATTCAACCAGCAAACACGTAACATCAGATATGTCTCCCAAACACTTCAGTCTGGAAAAGGTGTTAAATAACATATGTGCTCTTATAAACTAAAGGAAATTTAATTTACTACTAATTTCACACCAAATTACAACGGGAACAATCTCCTGGTTCTGAAGCATTTTGCAAAAGGAAGAACTCTTCAATATTATATAAATACGCTTTTAATAATCCAGGTCATAAATAACACAAAACATATAACTTCAACACATACTACAGTTAGCGTAGGAAAACTTTATCAGATTGTGAAGTAAGAATATACCCCACTGTTCAAACAATGAGGAGATCATATGAGTTCTAGCAAGGTCACAGTGAGAAGGAGAGCACACAATATATGTTATCTAAAGAATATTCATCATGGGGAATTGAATTGGATGCATCTCATTTTTACTTTGTCAGGCTTAGTTCATATTCTACCTGAAGCCCAGTGTGCTAGGAAGGATAGTAACTATCCACAAGGCAGGTATTAGGTATCATATCTTCATTTGACAGGTCTGGGGTCAGGTAAGTCAAATCAATACTTTAGAGACCTGTCTGTGGTCAAAAATGGACAATAAAGAATCACATGATAAACGAATCTGGCACACAGGGAAAAGAACTCATTTAAAATGAGGAATAATGATAAGAAGAAAAAAGATTTAAAATTTTTCAAAATAAAGGGGAAGGATGGTATTTCAGGAGCATATTACAAGTATTAGATGGATTAATTCAGTTTGATGTTAGAAAGCAGAGTTCTACTTATCATTGCCTTAAATAGGACCTCATTATCACCAGTACTTTGAAACACAGACAGGAAAATACCTAACCAGTTGTTTAGATGGTTTTGTGAGAAAGGCTGAAAAATAACTCAAGTGTTTTCAGATACTTGCGAAGTTCCACAGACACTGAAGACCAAATAATGATTACAGATGTCATACTGCACAGTGGCATGGAAAGGGATCAGGAATATACTGGCAGGCAATACTATTTACCCATTCATTTCTGATACCTGCCAAAATGAGACAAAACAATGCTCTTGACCAGTAGGTTACTCCATGGACTCAGAACCACACAGTGTATGAGCTCCTGAGAAGCAGGTTACTTCCCTCCTGACAGTCAGAGGTTCCTAACTTCCTTCTTGGAATAGGTTGTGACTCACTCTTTGCTAAAGATAAAACCTAGATTAGAGAAGCTGATTATCACAAATTAAATGAAAGCTTAAAACCATGGAACAATTGCTCAACAAAAAAATAAATTAATGGCTGAAGATGTCTCTTTTGGTTGTGTTTTATTCTAAGACAAACCTCACCAAAAGCCTGTTTTAAAGCTTCAGTCAGCCCTTCCTCTGTTTAGTACAGAAGACAAATCTGGAGTCTGAATCACTTCCAGCATATAGGGAGGAATGAGGTCTGCTATACCTTCTGCTTTATAACCAGCATTTCCAGGTTTTGTACAGAGTAAACCATAAAAGTAATCTTCTGTGGAATTTTATAAGATCTTGATATAAACTTCCCTTAGTTTGGGACTGTTAAGCTGTTGGGATTTGGTTTGGACTTATTACTATAAAATAGATTCACTGACATGTGAAAACCACTTATTATTTCAAAGCTGTTTCTTTTCTATGGCGTAGAACAAAGATTCTTACCAGTAACCTTCAGTTCAACTGTTCTTCTTATAAGCTTGCCTTCAAACTTCAGTTCACAGGTATAATTTCCTCCATCTTCTTCCTGGACCTCTTGTATTAAAAGAGTATTTCCCTTCTGAATTACAACACTTCTCCACATTTTTGGCTGACATTCCTGCAGAAAAAAAAAACATTGCCAAAATTACTCAGCTTGTATGACAGAAGACAGCCTTGCCTGATCAGATTTTCAGTATTATACATAAGTAAACAACCATCTCAATATATTTTGCAATTCAAATTCAAATATAATTCCAAAAAGCACAGAGATCTGAAACTGGAATTAATTTGAAGACAGAAATTAAACAGAAATGTTTTTAAGGTTCAGTAGTTCCCACTGTATCACATAGGCTTTGTTTAATATGTGGTGCCCTGAAGCAATGGTTAAGGATCTTCTCTTTTTCATGATGAACAACTGCCAAGACCTCCACTTTAGGCTGGCCCATTAAAATGCATCCCTGTTTTGAAGGGAGCAAGGACAACATCTGTTAAAGAGTTAGCCTGAAGACAGACTTTACACAGTCTCAGGCTAGAACCATTTACCAACAGAAGAACAGGGAGAACAGCAGCAGTTTTGTAAGCACGAGAATTCAGGAAGCCTGGATTCCTTATGGTCTTTGTCACCACTGGCTTTGATGGCACCTGATGAGCTTTGATTCAGCCTTTTCCCATCACTGGGCTCTTTGTAGCATCACTCCCATGTGTGTCCTCTGAAGGAGTACATGGTACTGATGGCCTGCAGCTCTCACTGACTTTGCCAGGCAGAGCTCAGCTGTTATTTGGCAGATTTAGGTTGATCACTATTAATTGTGGTCCTACTGGCACAGCGTTTGAGTCCTTTTGAGTCTTTCTGCACACTGTGTGATACAGGGCAAGAACAGGCTCACCCTTTCCTAACATTCTGTATCCTTGCAGCCAGATCAATCGCATTCCACACTACCAGTGCTCATAACTGATACCTCCTGGAATGTCCTGAACTAAAAGCACAGGCACAATCTGATCATTGTCTCTTTAACATTCTTGTTCAACATTCTTGTTCTGCCTGCAAACAAAAATCACACTTTTCTTCATTTTCTAAACCATTCAGTACTCATGACAGTTCTGTAGGCTCTGGCAAATTCCATACCCAGAGCACACAAAGCAGCACAGGGCATGAGTTTCTTTAATGCCCCCCTGGCCCCTCTCCCAAGGTGGTAACACAGGATAAGTTCTCAGACTACAACTAACAATCCCCCATTGGTTGCATCAGGCTCATCCACTTCAGAGACTCCTGTAAACAGCCCAGACCTATGCTCCACTTTTTTTTTTTTTGCCTGCCTGCAACAGTAGTGTCAGAAATACAGACAGCAAAATAGAACAAAGCTTTCTCTTAAGAAAACAACCAAACAAGAAAATCCATTGATATGCAAATATACTGTATGACAGCAACAGACCAGAGTGACACAAACATGATTTTTCTATGGGACTCCATATGCATTCCAAGTCTACAATGTCAGATTCTAAATAAAAGGATAAGAATAAATAGAAAGATGGGACTGTGACCTTCTGGCCTTGCATGTGAAAATGGAGCACTGAAGCATTTATCCCTGTCCCTAACAGGCCAAATTCAGTCACAACGTGGTCAGACTTTGGGTTCTGAAACTCTGCGATACTACCCCAGGTAACAGAGCCTTCAGGTTACTCTCTGCTTCCAAAGTACAGCTGTAAGGAAGGTGTAATCCTATCTTGCATGTGAACTTTAGTTAGCACTGATGACAGAGGATGACCAGAATCCAAATCCTGTCTGCTGTGCTAAGAAGAATCAGAGCTTAGTTTTGCTACCAAACTGCACTGGCATCGCTTCAGACTCACGCAGGACAGAGATGTGAGCTGGAAAGTGCCAACCAATCCATTCTGATTGGCACTCAATTTTTCAGTCCTATTTAAACATACATCAACCACCTATGAGGAGTAACTAAATCTAAATGCCGGGCAAAGAATATGATTCACTTAAAATTCTAACTCAGAAGGAACACAACTCCCATAATACACAAGGTAAGCCCATTTCAGATACACACCCCTCCTGCACAGCCCGGAAAGATCCTATCACACATTACCAGTTTTATATTCTCTATTTTATTTTTAAAAATACGGGAGCAAAGAGATCAAAGACACATTTTCACATGATTTGTATTTTCCTATATTACGAGTTTGTAATAAGAAGGGTGACATCTTTACCACTAAAGAGATTAATGTTTTATCACAACCAATGTTTATGCTATTGTGGTTTTCCAGAGAGGAATTGTTCTGTTGGAAGTGCACCACTAATTTCATAATTGTTTCTTCTTGTATCTACTTTAAACACTTCATGTTAAAAATTATTTATAAGCCTTTCTTTCCCAAATTCTAGCTAATTAATTTTTCTTCTACTGCCTATGCAAGCTTTCTAAACATATGTTGAAAATGCCTTTTATTCTGCCTGGTTTCCACAGACTAGTTCAATGCACAGAACTAAAAGAAATTAAAAGAAAAACTAGAAACTCAAACTAAAAGAAGGGGAGAAGCTGGAAAATCATAACAATTTGTATTTTAAGCAACAAAAATGGCCAAGAAACAAACAAATTAGAAAAAATATAACTAGTCTTCATATTGTGAAAACAATCTAGACTATACTGTCAGAGGTCTGCTGATGTCTCTAAAAAGGCAAGTGGTCAGTTGTACGACTGTTGCTTGTTTAACCAGTGAATTGCTCTCTTCTGCTTTTCCATCTTGTTTACCTGCTAGAAGAATATGAAAGTTTCTTCTTCCAGCCTATTTATTCTCCTTAAGCATCTTAAATGTTTTGGTTTTTTTTTTTCCCGCAATAATTAAGTTGTGCACTATTATTACTTCTTTTTCTCTTGAAATTCAAGAGGCAGTACCTCAACAGCTCTGTTTTTTGTAGGGTAGATAACAACTACCTGTCCTTCACCTGACGTTTTGATTGCTTTCACAGCCCCTCCTTCAATCCAGTAGTAGAAAAGAGATGGTGGAAATGGACTGAGGTTCCACATTCTAGATGTAATACACCTTTTTCCTCTGTCAGTTGATTTTTCATGAAACTGCTCTTACTGTTAGATCCCATTCATTCAATCATGCCTTGACACATACATTTATCTCAAAAAAAAATCCTTATATTTCTTGTCAAAGCAGTTCTAACAGGCATAGCAGAGCTGTGTGTGTATTAATGGCACTAACTATCAAAATCTTTAAAAAATAAATATTTCATGCAGTGTAATTCTAGCCAGAAGTGAAGTTCGTCCTACTGCTAAAACAAATCCTCACAGAAAATGCTTTATTACTTCTCGGGTGTGCACGTGGAAATCTATTCAGGCATAATTATTTTAAGAGTGTGTTTAAATTACAGTTAACTCCCTGTAAATTGATGCAATTATTTTCTCAAGATTCATTAATCTCTCCACATAGAGAAGCTTTTTGGAAGGCAGGGAAGTCCTGCACGTGGTGGGCTTGCACCATTACTGTCCTGTGTGATGGTATTTCATTGGCCACAAGTCCAAACTCCACAACTACCAGCCAACTGGCACATCCTCATGAACACAAAGGTGTAAAGAAGGAACCTCAACCACTTCCTTGTATTTATTTATCTACTGTTCTATTTTGGACAACTTACACTCTCCCCTGGATGAAAATCTTCTCTATTTCAGTGTAATGAAAAGGAGTTGTGTCCCAGTTCCTCTGAAGCAGATGTACACAAGAAGATGGCTGATGACACCTTAATGTACACCTCAAACTCAACCACAAGGTAGAGGGTGAAAACCTGAGCATCCAGTGTGCTGTGACTGGAAACAGATGCCTCCTGCAGAAAACGAGGGTCAGACCCTGAAGTGGAATACCACTTTACACTGTTCTTTGGGAGCAGGGACCTGCTTTTTGCTGCACATGTTGCCTCACACAGTATGATCTTAACTCCAGTTGGTGGTTTGTAGGGGTTACCCCAGTACTCATCATATTATTTTGAAATCCAAGTAATTAGATATTTTCCAGAAACTGGACTTACACTATTTAGACTAGGCAGACTTCCATTAACAGTTAGCACCATAATACCCTCTAAAATATTTTTCCAAAAAACCTGTTTCAGGAGTAAGTATCAAGGGATAACCTGACATGTAAACCTTCTGCATAACATTAATACTAACCTTTCACATTACTGAGCTTCCTGACTCAGGTCCAGATAACACAGGTGTTCTCTAAGAACTGCACGGCCAGCACCTTATTGTTAATTATGGATAAGGAGGTGTATCTAGTAGGTTATTCCACTAATGTCTCTTTTCATTATCGAGACACACTAAAGGCTGTCAACTTTGATTGGCTTATCGTTATCATCCAGCTACATCAATTCTGTTCAGTCTCACCATGGTGATGACTTGTCAGTCAGCTGTCACACCCCAGCCTGGTGAACACAAGCTGTGTGTGACCCAGGTGCCCCGTGGGGGGGTATGGAGCACAGACCCTCCTGTCCCCTGTCCCGCTCCACGCAAA